TAGTTGGGGATGCAGGTTCTGGGGTGGGGCTGGGGAGTTTGGGGTTTAGCAGGGTGCTCTGGGCTGGGACCGAGGGGTTCGGAGGGTGGGAGAGAGATCAGGGCTGGGGCAGGGGTGCGGAAAGGGTGCAGGTTCTAGGGTGGGGCTGGGGATGAGAGGTTTGGGGTTCAGGAGGGTGATCCGGGCTGGGATCGAGGGGTTTGGAGAGTGAGGGGGGATCAGGGCTGGGGCAGGGGGTTGGGGCCTGCGGAGAGGCTCAGGGGGCGCAGGCATGTCCCTTCTCTGGCTCCTACGTGGAGGCGCGGCCAGGCGGGTCTGCACACTGCCCCATCCGCAGGCAGCTCCCATTGGAGCGCCGGAGGGGGGCATTAGAGCGCCTAGGAGCCGGAGCAGGGCCATGCCGCGGCTTCTGGGAGCCGTGTGGTGTGGCCCTGACCCTGCGCCCCGGCTGGAGCGGGGCCAAGCCGCATGGTCCAGCCCTTGACCCAGTGCCCTGGCTGGCTTATTACAGCCAGACAATACTTAAACCTTCGGAACTTGGGCATGCCCCACTACTGGGTGTCGATGACACTATTAAATCCAAATATGCAAAAATAAACAAATATAAAAATACATGTAAACTAACACTAACTACTAATCTAATTATTTACATTTTTTTTAGAGAATGATGAGGCATACAGGCTCTGTCTATCCACCACAGGTGGGGAGAAGGAACTGAGGGAGGGTTGAGGGCAGCCCCACCTCTTCATATCATTGGCTATCAGCATGAGCATGTGGAGAGTGCATGCACCACCCTGAGGGGTGCTGACGGAGATTTTTTTTCCATAGCTTCGGTGCACTGAGTGAGCACATACCTAAAACTGGAATGGACATGTACTATCACTTGAAGAACCTTAATTGTGTCATTTCCTAACTTTTCAGCACTTCACTTTATGACCTTAACATTCTTTTAATGTGTGCGGGGCGGGGGGGAGGGGGGGGGGCGGGAAGTGTTGGGGAGGTATATGCTCTTTAATGGAGCATATACATACAATAAGGAGCCCAGCATGGGACAGATTCGAGAGGGATGTAAGATGGCGTCTATCATACACAGATTTTCAAAAAAACATAGTGTCAGACTCAGGTTTGTTTTTAATAATTGACAGACAAGATTCACAGCCTAGGATTTTATGTATTCATATATAAATACAGTAGAACTTCAGAGTTACAAACATCAGAGTTACGAACTGACCAGTCAACCACACACCTCGTTTGGAACCGGAAGTACACAATCAGGCAGCAGCAGAGACCAAAAAAAAGAAAAAAGAAAATCTAGTACAGTACTGTGTTAAATGTAAACTACTAAAAAAATAAAGGGAAGTTTAAAAATAAGATTTGACAAGGTAAAGGAAACTGTTTCTGTGCTTGTTTCATTTAAATTAAGATGGTTAAAAGCAGCATTTTTCTTCTGCATAGTAAAGTTTCAAAGCTGTATGAAGTCAATGTTCAGTCATAAACTTTTGAAAGAACCACCATAGCATTTTGTTCAGTTATGAACATTTCAGAGTTACGAACAACATCCATTGCCGAGATGTTCGTAACTCTGAGGTTCTACCATATCTACATTTTCACTAAGTGCAAAGCCATCTTCTGAATGATGGAGCTTATCTATTCTTTCGTATATGTAGAAAATCTTTAAATTGTCAAGTTAATTTTTAAAACTCACATTTTCATCTTGAATCTGTGACAAATACATAAAAAAATTCACCTTCAATCTCTGTCAATACCTGTGCTTCCCTATATAGTTTGTTTCTGTTTTTTAAGTCGTACTCATAAAATTAAAAGTAAAGATATTGCCAGAACTGCAAAATATCTCCAATCTTTTTGGCCAGGGGAAAGAGAAGTCTGAATGAGTTACTGTGAGTTCAGAAAGGAACTATTAGTAATATGAATGACCAAAATGAGATATGACAGAGCGCGCACAGGTACAAACAAATGTATGAACAAACCATCATGGACGGGCAGAAAACTCATCAGAAAAAACAGTTTCCCTTAATTTCAGACTGGCTTGTAGATCACAATCTATGGCTCAAAGGAAAGTTACATCATGTTGCCTTATCACTTCTTTTAACCTCCTGCGTGGGCATGCACAAAAAGGGAAGGCCAAATATTTTACATCAGAGAAAGAGCTTATCCTTATTCACCACAGCTTGGTCTCAGATATGAACGACACATACCTTTTTTGACAAGTGGCTGAGTAAAACACTGGGGTCTAAGCAAGACTGATAGTAGTGTCCTGTGGCAGTTAACTTTTTATCATAATAGAGACATGGCAAAGAATAAACTATACTGAAAAACTGAATAAGAACAGAAAAAAAAGGTTTCCGAGCTATTCCCAGATGAGCCCAGCAGGCGAGCCACACCCCATATTGCAGAGGAAGGCCAAAAAACCCAAACCTCTCAATGTCTCGCCAATCTGACCTGGAGAAAAATTCCTGCCAGATTTGGGGATGGGAAATCAGTAAGACCCTGAGCATGTGAGCAAGATACACAGAATCCTCTTATTGATGCCTGGCTGGTTTGAGCATTGGCCTGCTAAAACCAGGGTTGTGAGTTCAATCCTTGAGGGGGCCATTTAGGGATCTGGGGAAAAAAATCTGTCTGGGGATTGGTCCTGCTTTGAGCAGGGGGTTGGACTAGATGACCTCCTGAGGTCCCTTCCAACCCTGATATTCTATTATCTATGGTGTATCTCCTCAGAGCATGAATCCACCCCACTGGGTGTCCCGGCTTCCTCCCTGGCCAATCTCTAATGCTTCAGAGGAATACATCAATTCTACATGGGGGACAGGGATGGAAACTCTCCCTGGCCCCTGCAGATGGCTAGCTGAAGCCCTGAAGCATGGGATTTGATTACAGCCATCTAATTAAAAAAAAAAAAAAGTGTGTGCTTAATTTCTTGTTACATATTTTTGTCCAGATTCATTTATTACATTGCAGGGATGGACATTACACCCAAGATGCAGCTCTGCTTATCCATTCTTTTTAAAAAAATCTCAATTACAGCACCATATTAAAATTATATTGCAGATTGGGGAGTGCAACCCTTTACCACTGAATACAGAAATGGAGATGAACACTCTCTGTACATTAACAGCAATGATCTAATCCTACATAGTCTTCTAAAATGCACCAATGAAGTGAGGTGTTTTGGGATGTTGGCCTACTGTCAACCAGCAACTGAGCTCAGATCAAAGCAACTGAATCTGTTCCCACGACTTCATACACTTCATTTTGGACTGCAGGACTAACTGAAGTTCAACAGCAAAAAGCTGGTGCTTAATCTTGTGTATCTTTGTGCATTACAGTAATTGTGTATATTTTCATATACATAAGTATATGTAGCATATACTTACATAAGTATCAAGTAGCAGTAGTGATTTGTTGATTTTCAAACAAATTACCAAATATCACTATAGATACAGAAATCTGGGTTATGCCTGCACATGTAAGCAACTGTATCTGCTCACTGTAATTGACAGGATACAGACACCTCAAAAGGAGCGCTAATGTTGACACCATCCTATCTGCTCTTTGCCTTCACTGTACACAAAATGGGGTGGCAATATATGAGAGAAAACTTAAAAACTAGCTTTTAAAGTACACTTAGCCACTTCCCCAAGCCTAGTTAAAACCGCTGATCCTAGCCCAACCACACATGCAAGAGTTTGTGCGCACACACCGAGAGTCTATAAAACACCATGGCACAGGTTCTCCTTTGTTGCCTTCTTTCACTTATTCCTCCCCAATCTACAAACGTGTATGTGTGACACACACACACACAGAGCGCTAAACAGATTGGATGGATGCAACAGAGTTTGGCCCTGCTCAGGAGCGAGCAGGCTTGGCCCATGTGTGCGCCTCTAAGCCAGCCAGAGCCTGGCACTGCTGTCGCCCCCGCCTCTCTTCAGCTCCACGCTCAGCATAATAGGACAATTCACCCCCGGGCTCTACGGGCACAGCAGGGGAGCCTCCGAGCAACCCCCACCCGGGGGAGGCTCTTCCTAACACCTACAAACTGAGCAGCATGATTAAGTCTCGCCTTCCACCAGCTGCCGCGCTCCTCGCTAGCCCCAGGTACTGAGCCCACCCCACGGCAGCCGTGCGCCGGTCTCCTTCCCGGACAGCGTGCGCCTGGCTGGATGCACTAGGACTCGCAAACCAGACGCAGCCTCTTCCCAAAATCCACGCGAGCCGCCCCTGCAGCGCGAGCTGCTCGGAGGGTTAACGAGGCAGGCTGCGGAGGGAGAGCGCGCAGCGGGTTGCAGAACCGACCCTGGGAACAGCCTGGCGGGGCTGCTCGGCTCTCCGCTCCGGGGCTGCAACGTGGGGCAGCGAAAGCAACGCCTGGCGCCTGAGCGGCCCCCGCCCGCCCGCCCAACCTGGGACATGTCAAACCTCGAGCAGGCCTCTCAGATTTCCTGTCTCGCAAGAAGGCAGCAGCCGCTGCACTCATCAGCTCGGCTGCTCGAGCACCTCGGCAGGAAAAGTGCAGCCTGCGCGTCCAGGGCCCCCCGGGTCTGTTCTCTCTCACACTTTAGCCCCTCGAGCCTGCATTTCGCCCCCTTGCCGGCAGCACAACGGCGGCTCCCGCAGCAACCACAAGCCGGCTGATTAGCCGGGGAATCGCAAACGTGTCAACCCAGCTCGCGATCCCCATCCGCCCCCAGGGGATGGGTCCCCCCATCCCTTCCCCTCTCCTCGCCGCCCCAGCCCCGGGGCTGCACAGCCACCGTCACCCTGTCACTCCGCCTCACCCGGGAAAACAATTAGCGAGCGCGTGAGCCAAAGGGGCAGAGGAGAGGCAGCCGGGGAAGCCGGAGAGCCTCCAGCACGGCGGGAGACAGCAGCCTCCTGCTCTCTACCCCACACCGGCCAACCACCCACCCAGCCCCCGGCTCGTCCTGCGAGAAGGAAACGCAGCCTGAGCGCCCCTCGCAGCACTCCGAGCTCACACTCACCCATGGATGTGGAGCCGGGCTCTGCCCGGCAGCGGGGACAGGCTGAAAGTTTGAGACGGCGGGACAAGCCGCGGGGACGGGAGCGAGTTAAAGCCACTGGTCGGGGGTGGGAGCCGAGCGGAGCGGAGGCTGCTGACTGAGGCAGTCGCCCGCCCTCTCAGCGCCCGCTGCAGCCGGGCTGCGTGGTGCTGCTTCTCGCTAGCGGCTCCTCCACTCTCATCGGCATCCAAACCGCAGAAATAGGACGGGGGGGAGGGGGGAGAGACGCAGTTTCCGCAAAGAACCTGGGTCCCCGCTGCTGCCTGCGCTGGGGTCAGGCAGGCTCAGGGTGCAGGCTCGGCGGGCGGTTGCTTATGGGCGGCGACTCCCCGTTTTGGGCTCCGCGTGTGCAGCAGAGCAAGTGTGAAGCCGGAGCTGGGTCTCCCCCGCCCCAGGCGCCGCCACGCTGGGCGCTGCCCCCGCAATCAGCGGCTCCGCTCGGCAGGAAGTGTCGCGAGAACGCGCCACAGCCCGGCTGCACCGCCTCGGCCCCGCGCTGCCCGCAGCAGCGGCGCAGGAAGGAGAGAAGGGGGCTGGTGACCCTACTGAGGCGCAGGCGTGGGGAAAACGCAGCTCCCGGGGTCCGCCTAGGGATGCTCCTCCTCCCCCTAGGGACATTTGGAGGGGAGAGGGGGAGGCAGCTTTCGGCTGTGAAACAGGGGAGGAGAACAATGGCAGATCTAGTCTGTTGCTAAACAAAACACCCCCACAGGGATGACCATGCCCTGGCCTTATAGCCATTGACTGAGTTTTGGGGGGTTTTAACGTCAGGCAGCGAAAACAGGCGGGGTGCGGAGGTTCCACTCCGCTGAACAAGTTCTGACACCGAAAGTTCAAACATCTCCCCCGACTTCAAAGCTCTATATTCAGCTGAAATCTTCAGTCCACCCATACAACGTGATGGAGCAACAGGGGCAGCTGGAGCAGCCCAGCTCCAGCACATCTTTTGAGAAGCCTGGTCTGACTTTTGTTTGTAATGAAACCCACTTACCAGTTCTACATTTCATGGCCAACGCAGCCCTACAGGTGGCTCGCTGAGGCCTGCTATATCATCGCTAGAGTTGTTGCTCTAGGTGAGTATTTTCAAAGGCTCTTAGGGGAGGTGCTATTAGTTTGTAGCCCTGTATGGTTCAGGGGTTGTTAGGGGGTCCTGTGCACTCTATTCTTGGTGACCAGGTAGAAACAGGTCTTCCGTACAGATTTAAATGAGAATGGCTATATAGCCCACCTCAGTAAAGCTATTCCAGCTGGAGTGAAGTGGCATGAAGAAAAAAAAAAAAAAAAGACTTGAGCTCTGTAGAGCTCAAAAGCTGGTCTCTCTCACCAATAGAAGTTAGTCCAATAAAAGATACTACCTCACACATCTTGTTGCTATGGAAAAAAAAGAGACAGACGTTAATGAGAAGACAAGGCATCAAAGCTGCTGTAACTGACAGAGTAGAGGAAGGTAGGTGATACCAGAAATTAGAGATTTAAATTTAAATAAAACTTTCATGTAGAGTGATTGATTAGTTGAAAGTAGGAACAATGTATAAGGATTTGAAGTCTACATTTGAAGGCAATGAACACTTGTGACATTGACACAATGAAACAATATCAAGATGATTTATTATGCTATTTCAAGAACAGTAACATGTTTGGACAGAAAGAGGCCAAGTGGCCTATCTCAACTTCCCTACCTATTTGTTAACTGGTGTTTTTCTGGGATTGGAGTGTATGTAGAAGTTCAAGGGTCTTTGGAAGAGCTATACATATCAACTGAAGTAGACTCCCACTAAGAGGGAAAACAACTAAGAACTACATAATCAACTTTAAAAGATAAGGTGTAGGAAATGTAATCTAAAGAGAGATTTGCTCTACTGAGCAGCTTTAACTGCCCAAGGCTGCTGTAGACTATTTCTTTAACTCTCCGTAGCATTAATTTAGCTGTGAAGATGGAAAAATGCTAGCAGCCAAAATGATATGGATTTAACATGTGGAGCATATTCTTTCCTGTTTGAAAAATAGCTCTCAGGTACCGAAAAAGCAGAAATTATAAAAACTCCTCAGTGGAGGCAGAATTGCCTATAAGTTTGATGCAATTTGTTTATTTGGCCATCAGAATCTCTATTTTTGAAATCAGGACTTGAATAAGGTGTTTTATTGTAGAAAATTAGATGATCTCAGAACGTAAACTCTACAGGGCCAGGGGCATGATTTCAGCTGTCGATGTCATGCACACGTGTTTTATAAATACCTAGATTTAATTTTTTAGTAATACAGTATGTCCATTAGAACTAGCTTTTGTTCAGCTATAAAGCAATGTTTGTAGGAGAGTGATTCCTGTCTGTAGGAGAGTGATTGCATATGCTCAAGCAGTTTAAACTGAACCAGCTTAGACTTAACTGTATTTCTTTTCTAGTTTAAAGTATTGGAATTTTACTTTTTGAAAAAAACATATTACATGTCCAGAAAAAGAAAACGGTGCACAGAATGGCTTATAATGTTAAATAATTTCTTTTATTAGACATATCTGTAAGGAAAATAGTAAAACAAATCCAACACTCAATAGGGACAGAATAGAAATGTAAGAGGAACAAGATAGGAAGAGAGTATCTCGTTCAGTCAGCTTTCACTGAAAAGAAGAATCAAGCCAACTTGTCCATTAACGTAGTTCCATCAAAAGCAGAGTAGAAGTGCAAACTGAAACATATTCTATTGTTTCACTTTTCACCCCAGGCAATGGCATTGGAAAATTTCTTGTAGCCATTCTTCTATAGTCAGGGAGTAGACGATTCTCTACCACATCACAGCCTGGCTCTTTACTTACAAATGCAATCATACAAAATCTGCACAAGGTCCAGTTTACATCGGTCTCATGTACTAAATTCATCACATTTCCACAATATGAATTGAGGTTTAAGGTCTTTTTAAAATAACCAAACACCCCTTTTATAATGGCTTTCCTATATTTTTTATATCTGTGGGATTACCAGAAAGTGTGGAAATACCTTTCCAGCACTACAATTTCAGCAATTGTCTATTCTGATACAACCCATCTGCCTCCATTTAAGTAAATAATGTGCCAACCTATATTTAGAATTGATGCAACTAGTTTTGATAAGAATGAGGATGATTCCATTGTAGAATGTTAATTGCTCTGGTTGTGGTTCTAAGGAGATTAAGGTGTACTGGAGTAATTGGTATACCTGATTTATTAGGCTATGTCTACACTACCTCGTAAGTCGACCTATGCTACGCAACTCCAGCTATGTTATTCACATAGCTGGATTCGACGTACCTTAGGTCAAGTTACTACACTGCGGGGGGGGGGGGGGGGGTCGACAGGAGAAACTCTCCCATCGACTTACCTTACTCTTCTCGTCGGGGGTAGAGTACAGGGGTCGACTGGAGAGCAATCTGCTGTCAATTTGGCGGGTCTTCACTAGACCCGCTAAATCAACCGCTGGTGGATCGATATCAGTGCATCGATCCCAGCTGTAGTGTAGACATAGCCTTAGAAAGAGGAGCATTTCTGTAGCAGTTTCTACAGGGATGGATCAGGGCTGGCAGGGAGATAGATGCCACAGTGTCTTCCAGTTTTCACAAACTGGCTTACTCCTATGTAAAATTCCCAACTAGGCTCTCAGAATCAGAAAACCTCTTGCCTTCTGCCACAGCACACTAGCAACTTCTGTCCAACTCAAAGGAAATCACTCTAAAATAATTACTGTATTTGAATTAGCCAGTTTCCCAAGGATTAAAGCATGGAGCTAATACACTCCCACTCTAGAAAGTGAAAAAAGCTAATTTTTCTATAATGTAAGCTCTTTGTGGCAGGAAGGATCATTAGTTGTATGTTCATGCAGTGCCTATTACAAGAAGGACCCGATATGGTTAAGGCCTCAAGATGGTATCATAATATCCCCAAATAGCTTTCTATGCACTTTACTTTGCCAAAGGAATGATATACAGTTAATAAATATATTACTGAATAATAAATTAGAGATAAGGATATGTTTAGAAAAGAAAAAGCATTTGGAAAAGAAAATCTTCACAGCTACAGTGTTTGCTTAGAAAAAATGTAAGGATTTGTTAAAATGCACAAAATTTCCCTGATGTATGGAATGTGATTATATATTTTAGATGAAAATGATTTTTTGACTGATGTATTTCTCAGGAAACAAAAATTCAGCCATATTTAGGATGCAATTTTCAAAAGCACATAACTGTTGTTGATTTTTAGGGTGACTTGTGCTCCTCAGTCACTTAGGCATTTTTGAAAATCCCAACTTTCAGATCTAAAATTGGGCCTGAGGAATGGAAGCGATCTATTTGCCTCTATTATACTAAACACATCATTAAAAAGGTCTACTCCAGACCCCGAGCTTTGCTTCACTGTTCCATCCCTTCAAAGATGATAATTAGAGTCTAATGGTGATCATAAATAGAGGACTGATTCACAAATATTAATTTGGATCTTTGCAATTTTAGGGAAAGAATGAACTTTCTTGGCAATTGGTTAGAAAAAGGCAAACATTAAATTTTTGACTTCTGAGTTTCAAGAGAGAGAATAGACATGCCTCTTAAGGGCCTTTCAGGACCTAAAATCTGGGCAGTGTTACTTTTTTACATTTTAGTGTTATGTAAAAGGATAGTGTCACAAAACACACACACACACACACCCTTGTCAGACTACTGGAGTGCAGAGCACTCACTTTTCTCAAGATGATCTCTTACATTTTAAAAATTGGAATGCTGCAAATCTGAACTTAGATATGATCAGAAATATTAGATCTGACTCTGTTAAGCCTAAAGATGCTATAGAGGACAAAAGTAATATAGAAAGTTAGTGACTTTGTGACTGCAATTGAAAATATTCTATCCTTCAGCCCTATCCCTAGATTCTAAGGTAACTTATTACACTACTTTCCATTTTGTTAAAAATCGAGGTTTTAAAAACTGTAAAGTGACTTGTGTAAACTAGCATAAATGGGCTTGAGTTTGTTACAGCAGTTTTAAACATTCAACAGAAATGTACACACACACACACACGGCAAATGCATGCCCTCCCCATATGTGGTGTACAAATAAGGATTTGCAACAAAAAGGATATAGAACTACATCTTTTGAATGGAATAAGTGATATATTCAGAACCTATCCTAGAGTTTTCTACTGTATCCATCATCATAATATCCAAACATTATCATTCTAAGAATTCAAGAACATTTATGGGCACTATAAAGACAAGAAATATGAAATAGGGGGTGTAGTAGTATTGATTCTATTAGCCAGAAAGGAAACATACCCAAAATTATAACTAGATTAGAGCTTTTACATTCACAAAAGAGCAATGGATGAAGCCTTGACGGGAAAAAAGCAATCTAGTACACAAATATTTTTATGGACTACATTTTTGCAGAAAGAATCTAGCAGAATTTTTTCTAAG